TTTTTCGTTTTTTCAAGCACTGAAAATTTTTTCCTCTCTGCATACATTTTCTTTCATAAATAAAATTGTCCATCGACTGAGTCTGTGTGTGTGCTCTTGTTGCTGTTCTTGCGTTCGCTGAAGTTATTGAAGTTTGAGGTATCGCTACTTCTTTAACAGGTTAATCCGTTTTATCTTGGGAGAAATTAATCTGCAACCTCGGGTACAGTAAGGGGATTAAATTTCTTAAGGAAACACAGTGGTTTCTGTGGACTCGGATTAAATTCCTTCTGTCTATTTCTATCTTTTTTCTGTTTCTGTATTTTTGACTAACCTGAATACAGGAGATAACAAAATGTTGTGATGAACACTCGACCTAAGTACTCAACGCTTTTTTTAAATTGTAATTGAGTTGTGAACTATGACCCTCCGTCAGAAATGATGGAAGCATGTACACCATGCAACTGAACTATATCATGGATGTAGATATTTGTTAATGCTCCAATGTGTGAATAGGCTGTTCCGAAATGAAATGTGCGGAGTTTGTGAAACTGACTACAATTACTCAAACAGACTAATGCTTAATTCCTCAAAGTGCAACACAAGCCTAGCTACCACAAAGTTCATAGTGATCTTCTCCAATTTCCACTCAGGATTAACCAGATTCTGACTTATCCCCCCCAGGTTTCAGATGTTCATAGTTTACTTGCTGACAAGTCAAGCAACGAGTTACATGGTCAAATATGTTTGTTTTCATTCTTCTCCACCAGAAATGCCTCTTCAAGTCTTGACCCATATTTGTTGCCCCTAAATAGATTGAATAGCGGAACTATGAGCTTTCTCTATAATAGTCCATCTCAAATCCCCATATATATTGGGCACACCAAGTCTACCATCAAGTCTCATTGACTCATTCAGGTTCGAGAATCACCTTCTTAGCCTGTCCCTGGTCCACTTTCTACTTGAGCTTAAGCAAACAGGGATCCCATTTAGATTGTAACACCGTATCTTATAGAGTTTGTACTCATGAATTTGATGATGGGGCTGCAATGATGCTCATTTATTTGTTGCAGTGTTTGTCATATCTATGATGTATTCGTTATATGATGGTTTATCACTATTGCAAAAAAGCATTACCACTATATTTATGAATACTCTCTACTAGCATGTTTCCCAACTTGCCCCTTTATAGAATAGCTATTGGTAAGCGTTATGAATTCACTAAGCTAGCTAACTCACTTTTACGTTATTATTGTTTTACAGAGACAACTATTGACATAGATGAGAACCCCCAGCGAAGTTGATAGTATTGGTGAATCTCACATTGGTTCAAGCAAAGGGGGCCTTTATCATTTATTGTTGTGTCCTTCCTTTATAACTCGTAATATTGCTCCATTCATTAGTTTCATGTGTACTTTGTTCATCATGTTACTTATAAGTGTTCATCATAGAAAGTTAGTAAGATCATTTGTAGAATAGATTAATCAAATGAGAATACAGATAGAATATGGGTGCTCTTCAATGCATAATATTGAGAACTCCAATTGGTGATGACTTTTTTTCGAGTGCTGCTTGTGTTGTATGATTCTAGCTGAGACAGGTAAATTTGGATAGTTCTAGAAATAGGGGAAACTCTGTCAAATTTTTTTGTAAAATTTGGAGCTCTTCTCCTGGCCTTGAATTGGGTTGCTGACATTTTCCTAGTTAGCAAATTTAAAATGCACAAATAAAATTGGGATTTACATATTGGATGTAATGCTGCAAAGGTGAAGAGCAGAGTATTTTACCTGAGTTTGTTGAATATCAAGTTCTTGTGATAGAACAACATGATGATGTTGTGAAGGCAGGGTGTTAGTAGTGTATTCCATCATCAGCTATAAATCATGAGAATATTTATGTCATTTTTTCAAGAAAAATTGTGAGGCAATATGTAATGAAAGAGGCATTTTGTGAAATGATTTACCTGAATGCAATGCAGTATGCCTGAATGCTTTTGCTTGCCTATTCTCTGTTTTCTTTGAAAAATGGTGGAATGGCTTAATCATTCTATTAGATGTACATGCACTTACTTTTGGTCATTTCCTTAGTAAATTCAATGACTTTTTGGCCATTTCCTTGGTACAATAGTACCAAAATTGGAGGATTGATATGCTAGTTTTGCCTCAGGCTATTCAGTGTACAACTCTACATGACTTACATCACTTACATAATCTTTTATTGCTTGGTATTAATTCAATTGGCCACTTAACTATCTGAATCTATTGCTTGGTATTAATTATTTAATTAGACCTTATTAATCAAATGATCACTTAACTATCTGAATCTACCTACTAAAATTATGTGTTCTTTTTTTTTTAAAAAAAATGGAAAAACTTTATCAAGAGTTTTGAATAACTAAGTATTGAACTCTAATTAGTTATTCATGTATTTTAGATGTACATGCAATGCCTTTTTGCCACTTGTGTACCATTTAACTATTTCATTGGTTTAACTCTACATCACTTTTCCAGTCTTGTAGGAGTACTTGATATTTAGATTATTTTGCTGCTATGCACAAGTGTCTTACCCCCAACGATCCCAAATACTATGTCCTTTTCATTTGAAATTTCAACTTAGATTGCAAGTACACAATTAAGAAAATAACCATTCAACCACTCAAATTCTAAGTTCCCTACATAAATAGGGGAGGATCTGACCTGAACCCCTTGAGCAAAATATTACATTGTATATATAAGATAATTTTTTAATGTCTATAATATATAGATTTTTGAATTTCCTAAACACAACACTAGTGGTTAGATGAGTAGTTTAGGGGATTTAAAATCACCTTCCAAACTAATACGGCATACATGATGATTCAGTCGAGGTTGTTAACGTTTACCAACACATAGGTGTTCTAAATTTCTATAACGCAATTCCAAAAGGAGTCGGTACTTGGACATTGAATCCCTTCGGACCTGGAGTATGTGTGACGTGTCATAAATTAGACCCATTAGTCAAATGCAATTCACATCCCTCCCCATATAATCTGGATTGGTTTGCATCATCTTGTTATGAAGAAATTGTACTGGTGAAATAACCCAGAAGCGTAAACCCTTCTTGAAATTATACATACCATCATTAGTGTATATATTATGTAAAATCTATTGTTGTGTGTTTATAAAAAGATCAAATTTGTTTTTTGGTATCTTCTTCAAATTTCAAGTACTTTAAAAAATCAATACTTTTTGAAAATTACTATATCAACTTATCAAATTCAGTGCAACACTATTTCAATATCATTATAAAACTTTTTGAGTCAGCTTAATTATTCTAGCTTTAAATTATATTTTTTTGGTTGAAAATTTACATTGTTTATTCTTACTTCATAAGGTCCTTGCATATCATATCATCTCTACACCTTATTGATTACATTGATTATGTTACAGTTATTTAATTTATATATCTCAATTAAAAAAATAAGGTCTCTCTATAAAGTTTGACTTTAGACCTCCAAACTTGTTGAGATGACCTGATTTAGGTAAATCGATAATCCATTAAGCCTGTAGTAATTTACTACTTTACGCATACATAAATATTAAATATTAATCTCAATGTCTTACTAGTTACTTTCTTTAACTCACACTTTGCTATCTTTGAATTCACAACTTCACATTATATAAAACGTCAACACCTAAAGTAAGAACCCTATTCCTCCTAATTTTTATTTATGTTACGCTTGTATAGTTCTTTTCATGTTAGTTATTACTGTTTCTATTTTATGAGAATTTGTAAAGTTATATTATTGTCTTGTCGCGTCAAATTACTGGAGAAGTTGTATATTTATTTTATAAGCATTTTCTTATTGGTTAAATCAAAAATCGAACCAATAAGGACCAAAATCGATAAATCAAAAACCGATAAAAATATCTTATTGATTTGACTATTGATTTAGTGTATTTGAAAATCGAAAACTGATAAGCCGAACCAATAATACATAAAATCGAATTGAACTGAACGATGCACACATCCCACATGGCATAAGTTTGTCCCATTAAATAATTTGTTGTTTATATATATCAAAATAGTTTTAAATTATTTATACAAGTACTTTTTAGTATTCTCTTGTCACAATTTCTAAACTCACATATTTGATCTCCCTATGTCAGTCTTTTAGTGGAAATTGTAAGTTAAGCAGCCAATTAAAATTACAGTGGAAATTGTATAAATCTTTTTACGAGAAAATTACATGGAAAAACAAACTTATATCAATAAATTACTTAAAATAGCTACTGTCTACTTTATTTATCATTCGCCACCTGTTCTTTGTCATAATTACGCTTGACAGTTTTGTATAAGCATGCTTCTTTTTACCGGGTTCACACGCTACTTGTTTGTTTCTACATATTTTTCTTTTAACCTTTTTCACCCTAAATTCAAATTTTCAATATCTCCCTCTCAATTTGTTCTCCCAGATTTTTCAGGTAATTGTTTTGCCGGTTTCAAACTTATTTCATTATTTTGTATTTGTATATTACTGCAATTTTTTTTTGCCTTTTCAATTTTTTGGTTTGATACATCCAAAATCATGGATGAAGAAAAAACACCTTCTAAGAGAATCACTAGAGGTATACAACCGAATCAACATTTTTTGGATGATTTTCCATCTTAGCTCTTTGGGTTTAACTCAGAATTTTCAAAAAAATTCAGGATCCATTGTTAAATCTCAAATTAATCAACAAGAGGGTATGTCGAAGTCTGGTAATACCCCATTGAAGATGCAAGAAGTCATGTTTCAAATTCAAAAGGAAAAACCAAAGAAGTCATGCATGTTGCTAAATTAGTTGATGTTTTGATTTCAAAGAAGAAGCGTAAAGTAAAAGAGATTGCATCTACAAGCAATAAACAAGACAAATCAGTTGATGTTTTGATTTCAAAGAAGAAGCGTAAAGTAAAAGAGATTGCATCTACAAGCAATAAACAAGACAAATCAGTTGATGTTTTGATTTCAAAGAAGAAGCGTAAAGTAAAAGAGATTGCATCTACAAGCAATAAACAAGACAAATCAGTTGATGTTTTGATTTCAAAGAAGAAGCGTAAAGTAAAAGAGATTGCATCTACAAGCAATAAACAAGACAAATCAGTTGATGTTTTGATTTCAAAGAAGAAGCGTAAAGTAAAAGAGATTGCATCTACAAGCAATAAACAAGACAAATCAGTTGATGTTTTGATTTCAAAGAAGAAGCGTAAAGTAAAAGAGATTGCATCTACAAGCAATAAACAAGACAAATCAGTTGATGTTTTGATTTCAAAGAAGAAGCGTAAAGTAAAAGAGATTGCATCTACAAGCAATAAACAAGACAAATCAGTTGATGTTTTGATTTCAAAGAAGAAGCGTAAAGTAAAAGAGATTGCATCTACAAGTAATAAAGAAGATGCCCAATCTGATTCAGTTGAACAACTACATTTTAATTTGAAAGAATTGAGGTAATTTGTATAATATATAACTGTATATATGTTTGAAGTTCAGATCTAAAATTGTATGCATATCTGTAACTGTTTGAATATATTTGTACCTGTATATACAAAATGAAATTCTATATTTCAATAGTTGTCATTATTTTGAAATTTGTGTTATACTTATTTTCAAATTGTATAATTCTTTTTGTTTCACAGTTGTATCCATATTTGTATAACTTCGTATTTGTATATAGATATTCACTTTGTATAACTCCGTATTTGTATATACGTATATTCACTTTGTATAACTTCAACTTTGTGTATAGATATTCAATTTGTACAGTTCTATATTTTTGTCACTATTTTGCTATCTGTGTTGTATAATTATACATTTGAAATTGTATAATACATTTACATTATTTGTTAAGGAGTACAATTTATTCTCAAGGAACATCCACTTTACACCCCACACATGCAATGCTATACCAATATTGGGGTAATGGCTAAATTACGCTCTACATTTTTCGAAGTTGCGTTCAATCAATTTTGCGCATCATCTTGTTTTGCTCAAATATCAAGCATGCATCGTTGTCATGTTCAAGCACAACTGTTTAGATGTTTTATGTTGCGAGAGGTAGAGGGTAGTTCTACTGATGCCATTATGATTTACATAAATGGTACCACTCTACGTTTCACCCGTAGAGATTTCTGTCTTGTTTCTGGGCTTAAATGCAGTGATGATCTGTCAGAATTTGTGTTCAACATTGAAGAACCAAATAGAATTCTTCAGATGTATTTTTCAGAAAAAAAGAGCATATCGAAAGCAGAATTTGTTCAAAGTTTTAATAATAAGGTATGGGGTGACAATGCTGACGATGCATTGAAGTTTGGAATTCTATATTTCATACATTCTTACATTCTATCTGAAGAGCCAATCTCTACAACAATTGAACGAATCGACTTTGACTTGGTAGAATCTGGAATGTATATGGATTATCCGTGGGGTAACAAAGTGTTTGAGGAGCTAACAAAAAATATACATGGAAAGATGAAAAGAATAGGGAAGTACTACAGAATTCATGGGTTTCCTATTGCTATGCAAGTTTGATTTTATGAATGTTGTTCACAGGTAGATAAAAATATTGTTGTTAATTAATCTGACCACATTCCTAGGATTCTCAACCGGGTCACAAAAAAGGATTATCCCCGCATCGAGTACTTCATGAAAGGAATGTTCCGTGATGTCAAAACTTCGGTATGTTTTTTTTGCCTATTTTTAATATGTGTTGTTCTTTATTTTATATACAAATATTGTTTATCATATTCATACATATATGAATAGAACTTTCATTTTTATACATATACAAATATTGAGTTACAAGTGTTTATACATATACAAATTTTGTGTTCTTCATAAATAATGTATGTATTTACTCACTA